TTCATTTGGTCTAATTTTTGCCCATTGCACCTCCAATCTTATTGAATCTATATTCCCCTTCACTTTTTCTACTTTATTTCCTATTTAGTCTCTTAGCATCTTTGACATAAACAATTTCGATAGCTTCTTACTCTCCCTTTGTTACTTCATATCCAGTTTCTAGATTGGTATCACAATGCTGTATTTCAAATGGAAATTGGGCCATGGTATTGCCTTCTTAAAACCTCTTCAATATTCCCCATTTCTTACAAGATGAAAACCTGACATATTTAATGTTACATATAGTCTTTTATGACCTGGCCACTATCTGCTTCTCTAGTCCCTTTTCCAACATGCTCCTACCATAGGCTTTATCCTCTCACTTCCCAAGTATACACAGTTTGATGATACAACTCCATGATTTCACTCACACAGGCTGTTCCTCTGCCTAAAATGCCACCACCCTCAATGCCCCCTTTCACCTAGCCTCACCCAGCTAACTCCTCAGATTCCAGTGAATGAGTTCAGACATTGTATCCTACACAAAGCCTCCATGGAATCTTCAAATTGGCCCGCCTATTCCTCTATACTTTGATATCTCTATTTATATTTATCACTTTATAGTGCGTGTCATGTATCTTTGTGTCTGTCTCACCTACTACTCCATTAGACCATGAGCAGTTCAAGGGTAGGAACCACGAATTGTTCACATTTGTTTTCCAAAGCCCACAATATGCCTCTGGTCACAAAGACCCTCAGAAGTACTTGAGAAACTGACTCACCTCCAAAAGCACATCGGAGTCCCTTCACCAGTTCTTTCCCACCTGGACAATAGTTGCAGGTGTGCATTTCACCATTGTGAAATTGGATTAAATGAAGCTCTTCCAATGAAAAGCTTTGGTAGGAAAGATGGAAAGTGAGGCTAATGCCTTTTGCGTGACTGTTGGACCACTGGTAGTAACCCTACAATAAAAAAATTCTAATCAGCTACATCTCCACAAGTACTTCTCTCCCAGTTTATTTTAAGTCTCATAAAGAACTGATTTTTTTAATTTGTTTTTAATATTTATTTATTTGAGAGAGAGAGGGAGTGGGGGGAGGGGCAGAGAGAGAGGGAGACACAGAATCCGAAGCAGGCTCCAGGCTCTGAGCTGTCAGCACAGAGCCTGACTCCAGGCTCGAACCCACAAACTGTGAGATCATGACCTGAGCCGAAGCTGGACACTTAACCGACTGAGCCACCCAGGTGCCCCTCATAAAGAACTGATTTTAAAAGTCTTGGTACTAAAATAAATAAATAAATAAGTAAGTAAATGTCTTAGTATTACCAAGATACACATGTGGGAAAGAAAAAAACAAGTGCTGTTGCTTCGAATGTCTCTACAGATTTCATAACCCCTAATAGGCACATTAGCTTTGCTTACAATCTATCCTTTGTGAAGCCCCGTAGATGACTTCCCAGAGCTGTTCATGCTCCCTTAGCATCTGCTTGTTGTTTACCGCGAAGGGCAGCCCCACTCTGAATGAACTCCTGGGAACCCTGTGGATGAGATTATTGCTGTACCATACCAAAAACAAACACACCGGTTCCGCCCTACTCCACTGGCAGGTCTGGGAGAGGTTCAGCTTGTGCTGCGCCAACTTTTAGATAAACATATTTTTCTCAGTTTATACTTTCAAAAATTTGGTCCATATTTTAACAGGATTATTATTCAGGAGTTTGGGATGACTTTTTTTTTTTTTTTTAAAGAACATCAAGACTATGCATTTTTCAATGAGGAAATGGGAACCTGTTGCAAATTTCTTGGTCCCTACCTTCATCTTAAATGTATAGTTCATTCTGTTTGTTTTTATGTTTGTTTTTAGTACCTAATTTATCATAGACACTATGCTAGGTGTTTTTCAGTGTTCTACCATTTAATTCTTGCACAAATCTGACGCAATCATATTATGGTCCCTGCATTATCCAGAAGGAAGCTAAAGTTCCATGAGATCAATTCAGTTGTCAAAAGTGTATAGAGTAGGGGCGCCTGGGTGGCTCAGTCGGTTAAGCGTCCACTTCGGCTCAGATTATCTCACAGTTCCTGAGTTTGAGCCCCACGTCAGGCTCTGTGCTGACTGCTCAGAGCCAGGATCCTGCTTCGGATTCTGTGTCTCCCTCTCTCTCTGCTCCTCCCCTGCTCATGCTCCCTCTCTCTCTGTCTCTCAAAAATAAATAAACGTTAAAATTTTTTTAAATAATTAAGAAAAAGTCTATAGAGTAAACAGACATCTGATTCATACCCAGCATAGCTGTCTCCAAATCATGCCATTTCTGTGATATGAGAGTGACTTTCCAAAGTACTTAACCCTGACAAAAACCTTTGTTTTTACTCCTAGATTCTATCTATTCTAATGCCTCTCATGCTAAAGCCTACTTATTTAGAGCACTTGCTCCTAAACGATTCCTCAACCCCACCCCCACCCCTGCCTTTGCACTACTTAAACCCTAGCATCATCTCTCCAGATTTACTCTAGGCATTACACATTTTGGCAAAGAAATCTCAGGATTTAGACATAGAGAGTTTTTAATGGTAAGAACATATTTGGAGATAAACTGGAATAATGATAGGTGAAAACACAGTCTGACTGCAATGAGTTGACAGGACTGGGTGCTTTGAAATGTTTGAGCAATAAGAAGCCAGCAACTGTTATATTCATGGAATACACCACTCTCCAAAAACAGGCAGGACAACTATATAAACGTGATCAGGAAAAATTGAACTAAGTGGAACAATAATAAGTTGTGTATGACAACTTGTTTAGTGTGTACGACAGCTTGTCTTTTGTGAGTGTGACTGTAGGGAGACCCTCCACACACTCTCAAGTGCTCTCATTGTTGCCCTAATGGAGGTATAATCCTGGGTTGAATAAACCATGAGCCTGTTCTAAAACGGAATTTCAGATATTATTTGAATGTTTATCCCGCTTTGGGTTTCTTCAATCACCTCTATTTTAAGAAATATAATTAGCCTAACTTTGACCCAATAGGATAGTAATGGAAACACAGTAAAAGCATTCTTCCATTCCTTACATGGTTATGTGCTGGCTACTTATTATACGACAAGCACTTTCGGGCACTGGGTGGCTTAGGTCAGTTAAGCTTCTGACTTGAATTTGGGTCAGGTCATGATCTCACAGTTCATGGGATTGAGTTCCATGTTGGGTTCCATGCTGACAGTGCA